TAATTAAAGTTGATAATAAAACAAATTAAGAAATTTTAGAAATCACATGACTTTATAAATTTTTTGTCAAAAAAAAACCATTATTTTTGAGTTTTTGGTGAAATTTGGCAGTGTGGCACAGTAAATGGTGGTTATAGACTTCGCGCACCATACAATTAAATTAATTAGTGGCAACTTTATTGCAATCTTAGCATTCTAACTGCGATATCGCACTTAATTGCAACATAGCATGTGTTTGGTGATCTATAAAAATGAAACACCCCAAGAACGTGCAGGATGTTTCGTAACGCCTGCCCTATTATTACTACTACTACTATTATTATCTGCAAAGTAATACACCATCATATTAGTTTATAAATTAAAGTCATGTGATAAAAATGACTTTGGAAAACAAAAGAAAATGAGTGAAAGAAGAATAAGACGAAAACAACGTCAACAACAACAACAGCAGCAGCAGCATTAACAGCAATATCAACAACAGCCACAACCACGCTAAGACTACAACCTATATATAATTTTTATAATTACACTTGTCATTAATCATTTGAATGTGTGTGAATATCAGTGGCAATGATTATTATCATTATTATGACTATGATGATGACGATGATGACGTGATGATGATAGTGATGGATGTTAGTAATGGTGGAAATTATGTCAGCGGTGGTAGTAATAGTAGTAGTAATAGCAATGGTGATAGTAATGTGACGATGAGGGCAGTGATGGTGAAGTGGTAATAATGGAGACAATGACAGCGGTGGTGGTAATAATAGTAACAATAGCAAGGGTAGTAGCTACGATTATGCTGCTATCGATTATTTGTTCGATGTCAATTATTATGATAGAAATTTTTGTCATCTTCCAAGGAAGGATCCCTTGGGATTTTTATTATTGTTGTTATTATATACCTTTTTTTTAAAAAATTATTAATCTATATAAATTTAATGTTAAAGAATGAGTAAATATAATAAGCAAGGGTAATAATCTTTGATAGAATTGAAATCCAAATCTTTATAACGGAACCTTTGATATATTGTGTCATAGTAAAAATGATAACCAAAACACAAATTGTATTTAAAGATTACTCTGAATAATATTCAGATAATGAGAATTATCTCGATTTTAAATAAAGTTGTCAAACAAATTCGTTGTAATGGTTCTAACGTAAACTTGCTAAAGAACTAGCTAAAAATCAATTTCTGTCGCATATTATAAATCTACGATGTATTGCGCATTTTATGGAGCTTGTTAACAAAATAATAATTTTTATTTAAATTAAAAAAAATTTTGACAGGATTCTTTTAACATACAGTATATTGTCAATATATATATATATAGTGATAAAAATTGCTGTTTATATGTTCCAATATTGTAAAAAACCACATTTATGCAATATTCTATCATCACGAGCAGCTGATGTTAACGTGATTCAAGGAGGGAGGTTGAAACCATCTGTTTTCGAAGTCGCAAACTTTATGGAACAAATACGGAGAGCATTGAAAGATGATGATAATTTTTTTAAAAAAGTTTGTCTCTTAATAATAAAAGAAATATTAAGATTAATATTGGTTTTCTGAACTAGTAGTAAAACTGTTAAATGGTATCTAAGAAAGCCGAAATTTTTTTTTTTTTTTTTTGAGAAGGTATTTGTTTTATCTCAAATTTTACTCTCGATAAAAACTACCATCATTATACTTGAGGGAGAGATAACAACTTTAGCAGGTGGTTTTTTTTTATTCAAATTGATAAGTAAAGCTAGCTTACAAAATTAAAGCGTATGCAATTAAAGCTTGAAAATAAGATGTGGTTATTTTCATCATATGCAATCTCACGGGACTTTAAGTCTTTAGTTCGTGCACGTCAGCTTGAAAATAAGAAAGCCAAAAGAAAGTTTAGGCTTTTTTGAAAATCTGTCGGCATCACCACTGATCTTTCTGAAGAAATTGCATTGTTTTCATCACTCACTGTCTATGACTTCCTTTAAAGATATATTATAATGTTAGCAGGAATGCTAAATGAATCAGAAGCTCTTTAACCACCATCAGTTCAACTACTTATCTTCTTTAACTCAAAAACTATTTTTACCATACCTTGTCAAAGACAACTACACCTGCTGTACCATGAACAATTCCAGCATTCCAGTACTACTTGTTTGGACGAACATCTTTTACTACATATCCTGTAAGAAAGCCAGTTCCAAGGAAGGCATCTTGCCCCACACACAAACGGATAATTTTAATTCTTTTCCGAGTATTCATACTTGATATCGAAAATGTCCTCCCTGGTAGCGTAGCAATAATTAGTCGTTTTTAACCATAGATTCACTTTTTGAAGGAAACAAATATTAATACAATGTTAGTAATCTGTATCAATAAAATCCCTCTTAATGAATGAGCGAGTGAAATGAAATAAACCAACAGTTCTAGTTGTATTATTCGATGATCCTTATGTATACCTGTTCATTAACCCTTCTATTTGTTTTTAAATATAATATTCACTATCAAAATATTTTCTAATTTCAGTCTTTATTCCATCAAGTGAACTAATCACTTATTTTTCTTTTAATATGAATATAATGATTAATTAGTATCACAAACAATATATAAAAACAACAAAGTGCTTGCCTTCACCAACTAGGCAATGAAAAGGAGTAATATGGTGAAAAAAATAAAGAAAAACGAAAACGAAATTGGAAAATAGTTCTTGTATATTTTTTTGTGAAAGTACGATAGAACCACCTAAAATTAATAATTAATGAATTAAAGGTGATTTTTATTGTTATAGGGACTTGAGATGTTTACGCAAAGAATATTTATATTTGAGGAGAAATTATGATTAGCTCCTTTACATGTTTGCATTTCTTTTCTTCTGCCATTTTATTAATTTTGACTGTCTCTGGATTATTGATAATTTTCTTTTAGGATAACAATAATTGTTGACCACAGTTTGTATTGACATGGTTGTAGCAATGAAAGTTGAGGCAAAAGTTACAGGAAATAAAAAACCTGATCTTCACATAAAGTACATCTTGATGGATTTGTATCTTGAGAACATTGAGAATCTTCCATCTAAATACACAAGTTTTTTAACATTTAAGGACAATATAAAAAGAATACTATCAATTGAATTTATTATATCATAAAAATTCTATGTAAAAAATCCACTTTAAAAAATTTTTTTTTTGAATTAAAAATATTCAGATGTGAAAATGAATTTGCAATTCACGCATGTGAAATTCAAATTAGCCAATCAGAATTTCATATCCAAACACCCCACCCCAAAATTTTAATTTCACATAGTAATAGTTTCAATTTCGCATACAACAGATGTTAATATACACTTGGCTAATATTGAACAAGAAGAAAAGGTGGCGAGGAAGAAATAGGAAGTTGTCGGGAGAAATCGGGAGAATGACAGTAGTGTTTATAGTGATGTTTCATCATTGTATGTAATAATATCCCGCCATCACCAGCAACTAATAATGTTATTGTTGCTAAAATAACTTACGGTTGAAAATGTCAATGATGTATCAGATCGAGATCCATTCATCGTTGGAAATGGGGAGTACAATAAATTATGTATTTATTTGTAATAATTTGCAAATAAATTCTAATCTTAATATTATTCAAACAAATTTATAAAGACGCCCAATGAAATAATAGCATGCATGATAAAATAGAGCGAATATCATGGTTATGACATGATGTTCACACACTTTTTTTGTTTTCGTGAAACAGCACAATCCTTTTTTGGAAATTTTATTATTATTAATTATTAACGAATAAATTTTGTTACACTAAATTAATTCTTAGTCATTAAGAAACAATGACCAAACCAACTGTTAGAGAATGGCTCGAAAAACGTTTAGAATCAAGAAGGGTACATTGGATAATATTGGGATTAATTGGAGTGGATTTTTCATGTATAATGACAATAATATTATTAGAATTTTTGGCTCCAGATAAATATGATACAGATAATGAATTAATTGAAGGATTGGAGGTGTTGGCATTTTTTGTTAATATAATGTTTTTACTTGAAATAACATTACATGCGTTCGTATATGGATTTAAAACGTATTTTTTCAAGAACAATCATTGGTTAATTCATATATTTGATGCAACTATAGTATTGGCTACGTTTTTATTAGAGATATTCTTAAAGGGTAAACAAAGAGAAGTTGCAGGATTATTGGTTTTATTTAGATTGTGGAGAGTGATAAAGGTGATGAGTGTAGTTGCAGTTAGTGTAGAAGAATACGATAAACATCATATTGAAGAATTGGAGTTAAAAATTAGTGAACTGGAAGAAGAGTTGAGAAGATTATTTTTGGAGGTAGATGATATTTCTAAAGAAGACGGGTGGGATGATAAAAAACGGGCAAGAATTTTCAAAGGAAGGTTTATACTTAATTCTGACTTGGAAATTTTAATCCCAACTGGTTCGATAGATAACCCATAATTAAAATAATCATCGATGAAATTGTATTTTATTTTTTATTAAAGTTTTTCATAGTAATTAGGTAAATTGTAAAATATATTATAGTGAATATAGCAATAAATGCTGATCGACAATTTTCGTTTAGAAAAGGAAAAAAGGCTTGGAAAGTTTTTTAATAGGCTGTGTGAGTAACCCCAGTACTAGTGAGACACCACTTGATTAAAATAGTCCATATGTTGGCCAAGAGAAATTTATATCCTTGGTACTAAATATAGCAAGTCGAATGATGATGATTTTCTGACTTAAGGATCTGATAGAAAATATTTCGGATGCAATTATTAGAATGCATAAAAATCTGATAAATGCAATTGGGAAATCAATCAGATAAATCCTTGTTCAACAAACAATATTACCATATAAATTAAATTACAAATAGTTTATAATATATATATATATATAAATTATACATATTAATATATATATATATAATTATACATATTAATAAAGAAAAAAAAATTTCCTAAAAAAACATTTTTTTTATTCCTTTCCTAAAAAATTAAAAATAAAAAAATTACTTTTATTTAAAATGAATTTTTTTAGCAATCGGTTTTACGGTGCTATTATGTCTCTGCGCTTTTCAACGCAAAATTCCAAAGTTCAAAGTAGCAACAACAACAACAACAACAACAACAACAATAACAACAACAATAACATTCAACTGTACAATAAACCTCAACAAGATCAAATAATTATATTAAAACATCATAAAGATGATCATGAAGACAATCCATGTTTTGACTGTGTGAATCCTTGTTCAACCCATCCTTCATACCCTTCATATCTTAAAATTGATTATAATTCTCCATTGGAAGACACACTAAAGCCATATTTCAAACATGTTTTAATTTCAACGGGTAAAGCAGATTGGATAACCAGAGTAGAAGATGATTCTGCAAGTTAAGGAAGATATGGATTGTTGGAATCATGATAATGCCTTTGATGCAAATTTTGTCACGAATTCCAAACTAGATATAGAACTAGAGCAATGGAAGAAGGATGTGCAGCTGAATTAGAAAAACGGAAACAATTACCTGGAGAGTCATCAGGAAAATGGGTACAAATATTATGTGTATTGTGAGATTGTAAACCGTGGACCAACCAATTGACCAATTAGAACGAACTTACTACGGAAGTCATGTGATGCGCTGAATATTACATCACGATTAACAATCATCTTTCTATATTTATTGCAACGGTTGCACGTCATGTTACACATGTAGATCATTACATCATTTCTATTTTTAACTTATTTTATGACATAATTATTTACTTCGAATTATTAATCAAATTATTTGTAATAATGACTCATAGGATTAGTAATTATGAGTCAGAGCATTAGTAATTAGCAATTAGTAAGCTAGTAATACAGAAAATAGGATTAATAAGCATATTTTATTGGATAAAATATTGTAAAGGTCATGTTATTTGTAATACCTCAAGAGGTATAAAAAGGCTTGGTTTTAGACCAAGTGAGAGAGGAGGATGGTGTTAATAACATTAATAATAATTGAATAAATAATTTTTTTTTTTTCCCCTGTTGTTAATAAATTAAATAAACACATTTTACCTTATTACGAATTTTTGTATAGTTAATAGGAAAAGCCATTGTGAATTGTTCCATGGTCCCCTCTGATGATTAGTGGCTGGCCACTAATCATTAGTTAGGAACCCCCATTTTATTGTTCTATGCTGCTTGTAGGGACGCCTCAAGTGGTATAGTTGTAAATATTCCTTGTATATATTCTTTTTATTTTATTTTATTTATCATTTTTAGGCCAGCAGTACTTCATATTAGTACTGTAGAGAGAGAATTGCGCAATAGAGTTTTGAGTAGGCTCTGAGCCATGTGCCAATACAATGAGATTTATATATTGGACTTTTTATTTTATTTTATCTTATATTTATTGACACAACCTGAGCTGTAATTGAATTTACACACTTGCAATACTTTATATGGTTGGAGACCTCCTATTGCTGCGCCATGTGGCCAAATTTCAAAATAGCAATTTTGCAATTCGTTCAAAAATGTAATAAAATTTTTCAAAAAATAGGACTTCACGTGATTTTAATTTTAATACTGCCGAATTTAGATACGATATTCAAAATCTAGTCTAAATTTGGTAGGATTTTCCTAAATTTAGAAATTATCATAGTGGACATATTCCTCACGAGCATAGTAATAGTAAAGTACATGTTTTAAAAAAGAATAGAACTCTACAACAAACAATTTTTTTGAGAAAATATCTCTATTACATTAAAACTAAAGACATATTCTATCAACTAATAGAGCTATTTTTTTAAAAGGTAGGACATAAAGTGACTTCTATACTTTTAAAATTTGCCCAAAATTTAGGAGGTTTTTAGACCAAGCCAACTATATGATATATCTTGACAATTATGAATTTTGAATTTTTTAGTTGCTGCTGATTTATTAATTTTATCATCACTTTTTCATTATCATCTTCATTTTCCTTATCTTCATCTTCCATATAAATCCATTAAATCTGTTAAACAGAGATAAAATAATTATAGAAAATTTTGGTTTTGAAATTTTATCTGCTAAACTCCCAAATTCACTATACCGAGGTTAAGGTTTCTGGTCGAAACTGCTTCTATTAGTAGCCGAAATTGCCCAAATACTTTGGGCAAAAATTATTTTTTTATAAGCCCAAACTACTTTTTGTTATTAGCCGAAATTGGGCGAAATTATTTTAAAGTTGTTTAAGTTAAAACAAGTTGATTCATATAGTTTTTTAATGTTCATGCTTATAGAAAATGTTGAGAAGCCCAAATTGCCCAAACTAGTTTGGGCTTTGAGAACTTTGAGAAAACAGTTTGGACCAGAAACCTTAACCGAGGTCCACTATACCAAGACTCACTGTGTATAGCTTTTCCTGTTGTATCACTTAGATTATATTTATCCACAACATTTATGAAATCTTTATGATTATTATTACCTTTTAATTTGTTATGAATATTAATATCAAATAAATCAACAGGCATTAAATCTTCAGTTGCATTATTTCCAAATCTGAAACAGTTAAACTATCATTCAAATTGAATCATCCTATATAATTGTCAATTTAAATTAGTTCTTCTTTGTTACTTTTAATTTCTATACAAGTATCATCTTGCAAATATTGATTTGAAAGTACAGTTTAAGTGAATGTAAAGTATGGGTTTTAAATTTTATGTGATTAACAAATACAATCATTTGATAAAAATTTAATTATAATAAAAATTTTTTGCGTTACATAAAAGTTAAAAGTTGGATCCATTTAAAATGCCAAGAAAAAAATTTTCTAATAGCAATAATACATCTAACAGCAATGATATATCCACCAACAATGATATATTAATATTCAATCACAATAAACCCAACAGCAACAATAGTTTAAGAAGAAGTAATTGATTATTTAAAAAAAGTAACAAATTTAATGAAACAGAAGAATTACACATTGACATGGCTCTGAGGCTACTGGAAATTACAACAATCAATATAGAAATTTAATTAGCTCTATTCATGAAACAAGCATGACAGAAGTAAATACTCTTTATGATTATTATTACCTTTTAATTTGTTATGAATATTAATATCAAATAAATCAACAGGCATTAAATCTTCAGTTGCATTATTTCCAAATCTGAAACAGTTAAACTATCATTCAAATTGAATCATCCTATATAATTGTCAATTTAAATTAGTTCTTCTTTGTTACTTTTAATTTCTATACAAGTATCATCTTGCAAATATTGATTTGAAAGTACAGTTTAAGTGAATGTAAAGTATGGGTTTTAAATTTTATGTGATTAACAAATACAATCATTTGATAAAAATTTAATTATAATAAAAATTTTTTGCGTTACATAAAAGTTAAAAGTTGGATCCATTTAAAATGCCAAGAAAAAAATTTTCTAATAGCAATAATACATCTAACAGCAATGATATATCCACCAACAATGATATATTAATATTCAATCACAATAAACCCAACAGCAACAATAGTTTAAGAAGAAGTAATTGATTATTTAAAAAAAGTAACAAATTTAATGAAACAGAAGAATTACACATTGACATGGCTCTGAGGCTACTGGAAATTACAACAATCAATATAGAAATTTAATTAGCTCTATTCATGAAACAAGCATGACAGAAGTAAATACTAGCAAAAGACCCAACAAAAGGTGCATATGAAAATGAATTATTATATGAATGAAAATGAATGGTTATCTTTAAAAGAATTATTAGAATTGTTGAAAAAATTTGCAGAAGCAACTGAACTGCTTGATGGTTGCAAATATCCAACTTTATCACTTACTTACCTATCAGTAATTCATAAACTTTAAACATCTAAAAGATGTTGATGTTGAATTGAGAACATAGATTGCAAAAAGATGCATAAGGCTATTTTGGATTCTATAAGATAAATGAAAAGAGCTAAAAGAGATTATTATACTACTAATCAGCCTATTTTCTGATCCACATTTTAAAATGTTAAATTTTGTTTCTAATGAGGAAAAAAATTATAAATTTGATATCACAAGATAACAATAATAATAACATTATAATATTGGGCATGCAGTGGACAATTTCAGTGACATCCAGGATGTCATGATATTGGCCGTTGCGTGCCCAATATCTTATACTTAGCAAACTTTCAGATTCTCATTTTTTGATGATAATGTCAATGATCAAGATGCAAGTGAATTGAATTTATATTTAAAAATACCACAAATATCAATTAAAGAAAATGTGAAAAACCATCTTTCGAAACTTATCAAGCATATCAAGAAAATATCATCATCATCTGTTCCTGCTGAACGTGACTTTTCAATGGAAACTTTATCATTAAAAGAAATAGTTTAAAACCATCAACAGTTAAAAATGTAATTTTCTTTAAATTTACATAAACTTCAATATACAAAAGGAATTGTAAATAAAAATCATTGTTTTCTTTATATACAATATATATTAAAATGTCAATTTTTGAAATTAATAAAAAATTGTATATTTAATGGTTTACAGCAGAAATCCGGTTGCGACTGAAATCCGGTTGACTTTAAAATTTTCTAGTTGTGGCTAGATATAAATCTTTAGTCACGACTATGACTATCCAGTTAGCAACACACCACCTTATAACCTTATTTATAAATTTTATTCACTATAGTTTTTTGATATAATCATTGTTATTAATGTAACTTAGATTGTGAGTAAGCATGTTAGTCGAAATTGCCTCTCTTAATCTGAAATGTCAAAATAGTTTTTCATAGTTGCCGAAATCAACTTTATTACTTGTCAAAATTATATCCGAAATTATTTGACTCAATAGCCGAAATTCTGGACAATTTTTTATGTCTGTTGATATAAAGAATATTGTAAATCGAAATTGTTTGCCGAAATTAATTCTTTTCAAAAACTATTTCGGCTAACATCCTTAATTATGAGTTTAATTAATTTCAAAAATGATAATGACAATAACCATTTTTCTAAATTTTTATTACCAAAAGCTATAAATGTAAACACAACAGTTAAAACCAACAAGTAATAAAACTGAATGTTTTAATATATAGCATATGATCATTGGGGAAACATTATGCTTTTTTATGTTATAAGCAAAAAATATGAATAAACTTATATTATCACTTCCATTCATGTATAAGAACAACCAATCCATCCGCCAATTCATCAGTCTTTGAGCAAACAATTATTCCATTCATTATCTGTAACCCAAATTTATTATCTAACGTTTATGTTAATTGATACCGTGAAATAGTAATGGTGATTTATAATCACGGGAAACTTTAAATAAACGGAAATGATTTACAACAAGTTACACATGACAAAAATCGGAAACATTATATTAATAATAAAAATAATAAACTAAAAGTGAGCGTTACTCAATCTCAATCAATGTAATGAATAATTTAAAAGAAATAATTTGTCCATTTTAAAAAGAACTTGGAATTTTTCTTAAAGGAAGGTATAGATTATTTTTAAGGAATATTAAATTAGAACAAGAGACTATCACCAAGAGTTCCTGGAAATAATGGAGTTTGATAACTGAACCTTTAGAACATATAAATAACGTTGTAATTTTCTCAAATTCATACTTCATTTTATTATCTATATAAAATAACAATATAATAAACATATCTACATAATATGGAATAGTGATGCTAACACATAGTTTAGGTATTTGGTTTAGGCCTAATTTCGCTCATGAAAATTTTTCTGAAGAAATTGGCGAAACTTAAAAAGGCAAAACTTCTAAAGTGTGTGCGAAACTCCTAAATGTGTGCGAAACTCTTAAATTATGTGCGAAACTCGTAAACTATATGTGAAAATTAAACGGACGATCAAACCCTAGTATATACTACTTCACAAAAGTGTTTATTAAACAAATAAAAAAAAAAGAATTAATATCTAATCATAAAAATGTTTATTACAAAACGAATTATTTGTAAAGAAATAATTTATATCAACTTTTCTGCCCTTACTCTCAAGCAATGCCCTGAATTATTTAATTTCTCACCTGATCAAAAAGTGACATCATTTATAGTGATGTTAGCCAGCTAAGAATTTTATCGGCTTAGCTTTCCACTGGTTAACATCACTAATTATTTATCGTAATAATTTTTCCTTTTTAAAATTATATATGAATAATGTATAATAAATGAATTGCTCCATCTATAAATGGGGTATTTTCAATTTCAATTTCGGCAAACATCCTTTGAATTTCTCCCATCTCCTCCCTTGTCATCACGAGAATAGTACGGTGCAGATCATCTATAATCATTAACAATCAAAATTCTAAAACAAAAAAAAATTATCGTTTGGATTATTTGAGAATTGACTGTTGTTTCTGGGTCAGTAGTGTAATCCTTAGTGGCTAGTTCGAAATGTAATTGCTTTGCTCTTTCTCCTGAATATGGGTTATATCATTTTAAAAAATTTAACCGATAAGTTTTATTGTTCATGACTCAAGCTTCAAAACCTATCGGCTAGTTTTTTCTTAAACTAAAAATTGGCAGAACCTTAGCATTTTGAAAATTCCGAATTTTGTTATACATTTAAGAAATTGAGACTAAGTAAATTTCGTGTAACAACTTT